AAATTCTGTGTTTTTCTGTCAATATGGGGTGCTGTGTGTACATTGAGGAAAAAAATGAACTTAAATGATTTTAGCATATGGCTGCAATATAACAAAGAGTGAAAAATTTAAGGGGGTCTGAATACTTTCCGTACCCACTGTATTTGACAAGTTAATTATGGCTTCCGTTCCTTGTACCTCGTCCATGGTGAGGTTTCTGTAATTGAAGTTGCTGGTGCATCGCTGGAAGCAGATTTCAGTCATGCGGTTGTAAACCAGAAGAAAATCCCGCAGCTGCAAGAGACACAGTCACTCAAACTCGCCATCAAACTGTATTTATCTGCAAATAAGCCCAATGCCACTGAATACAAATGTGACTTACATTTCTTAGCTGTTGGTCAGGATCCATCGTGATTCAGTCTGAACTTGTCGATTGGTTAGCTAAAATGCTAACATGAGAGCAGGTCAGCTAACGAGTCGAGTAAATTACGGTTTTTAAGATTCTTGTCCTGAGGTAAGTGAAGGCACAGCTCCACAAGATGTGACTTATATGTCAGCCTGAACCGTACCCAAACATGAACTTATTCAAGCAATGGTTAAATAGATAAGAATAACATTGCCTACAGTCAATGAGCATGACATTCATGTCCACGCCACCGCCATGCTTGTTACCAAGATCGTCTACGTTTATAAGGAAGCATCACCTGGTTCCGGTTTGCAGAACGAGGCGTTTATCTTGGAGTGACGATAGTTTTTTGTTTTGAAAAATCGAACATAAATTACGGTCTTCAAGACATTTTAAAATACAGCTACAACAAAAACTATCACGGTATTTTGTGTGCTATAGCCTACACTAACACCTTTGTAAGCCGTCTCCCAAGTTTTGACTTCTGATTTCAGAAGTACTTGATTGTATTAATCTAATGTTTTATTTTATCTCTTTGTACAACAGTCTTATGCCTGCCCATAACCACACATATCTGCTGTAGTCTGTTACTGATTAGGCTATAAATCAAGACTAATAAGATGTAAAGTGTTGTTTCAGTAACTACTATATGGATTGCTATTAAAAGTTGTCCAGATATTCATGGTCCCCAGAGGATGAAACATGCTGTTTTTATTATAATAATAATAATAGTAATAATAATTGTTGCAATAAAAAATATAAAGATAACAAAGGATACAGAAAAGACATCTATACTCCAACACACACACTTTTGTCCTGTTTCTACAGTGGCTATTGAGAACAACATGTACTCACTCCCAGCCGAGCCTGAATGGCTAACTGTGTCCTGTGTCCTGCCCAGAGTCACAAATTATGCTGCTTGTCTGGGAGGAAAACAAAACTGAGACCCAAGATGAAGCCAGAGAAGGAGGCGCATTCAAAAAACAAAATAATCTCCAAGATTTTATTGCTCATGTCGCTCAATGTCTTCAATTCAGGTATGTCACATTTTCTACTTTAGAATGTGATTTAAAATGACTTTAAAATGAGCCGACGTTCTGCTAAATTGATTGCAGTTTTGTGACCTACTGTTTTCTGAAAAACTGTGTAAAGAATAAGCTCTCACACATACTGTAGTTTGCAATTAAGCAAATAAGTGACAACTGACAAATAAAGACTTATTATTGTTTAAATGTATTTATTTATTTGTTTGTTTATTTATTTTTTGGTAGTATGTAGCATGAGGGAATAAACAAAAAAATTACAATTTGCAGATATTATTTTGGAAATAATTATTTGCGCTGTACTAATGCAGTGTTGCTCACCACTAACTTGCTGGATAAAACTGACAGGGCCTTCTCAGTATAGTGCAGAAATAAACATGTAAAGTTTCATCTGTTTAATCTGCAGTAGTTAAGTTAGCTCTTGTACAGAATTAGCTGGGGGTTGGAAGAAAATAACAACAGGAGAACACTGAATACTGATTTTAAAATTGCACACTTGTTACAAATACAAATAGAACATATACAGGATCTGTGGTATCTTTTGCAGAGTTTTGCAGGACATGTTGAATGTGACCACATATTATGGCATCAGAAAACAAAGTTAAATAGGCTTTCTGAGGCTTCACAATGGTAGTATTTGTTGTTGGAGTATTGGATTGCATCAGACTGTGTGGGTGTTTTAAAGTCTTGTACCCACCCTTTGGAAGTAATGCAGTAGTTGTTCCTGTACATGCTATACCAGAGGCAGTGTTTTCACATTTAGTTATTTCCAACTGCGTCTGTCTCATCACTATCCAGCTATTGTTATGGCTAACAGCAGAGTCACTGAGCTGCTCTGTCCCTGCAGAGCTAGCATGGCATCTGGAGTTCTCCCAGTGCTCTTTTCATGAACTGCCAAGAAGGAAATTTGACCAAACAATCCTCACTTTTGTTGGGTCACGCTCTAAGGACTGACAGCTGCTACCATGGTGATGTAGACCTACCATGTGAACTGGCTCCAATGTACAGCAGTGATGAGGCATGATACCCACATTACCTGTCAGTTAACTGTGGTATCATTCATTGCAGTTGAAAAAACAATAATAGTGACATGCACAGCAAATAATGAAGTTTACTAATGACATATTGCATTCATATTTCTTTTATAGAGCACAATGTGCTTATGTTCAATGCAAATGCTCAGTGCCAATGCAGAAATTGGTGTGTCCTTTATGTAGCAAGGCAGAATGTGAGGTCAGGGTGGTGGATGGGTGTGTCACTCATCTGACTTATATGTAGCAGAATTTGAATCCCACAGTTAATGTTCACTTTTTGCCATCTCATCTTCACTGTTTCTGTAGTTACTGCTCTGTGTTTGTATGGCAAAGTTCATTAGGAATGCAGAAGGAATGATGTGCCATAGGGTGTTGGCATTCACCAAAATGTTTGTCACTATGGTGTCATTTAACTATAGAAGAACTATGTTGAAAAGAAGTGGCCATGAAAGTGAAAATCTAACACTGGAACCTGCTCTCTGTGTTTCTCTGTAGGTGAGGTGCTGGCCGTGAATATGACTATCCCCAACACTCTCATCCGAGGAACAGTAGGAGGGGAGGCCCTTCTGTCTGTCTGCTACAGTAGTTTCAGCCTCGACCTGCCCGTAATCAAGTGGCAGCTTAGGAAGGAAAAGTCTGTCACCATTGTCCAGTCAATTGGAACTGACATCATTGGGACACCAAGGCCTGAGTATCGTGACCGCATCCTGGTATTTGAGAATGGGACTCTGCTTCTCCACAACCTCAGACTCTCTGATGATGGAACTTATGATGTGGAGATCTCCATCACAGATGATACCTTTACAGGAGAGGGCAGCATCACACTCACTGTGGATGGTAGGAAGACAAGCTATTCTGGGAATTATGTGAGAGTACTGGACTCTACATATCAGCCCCATTTGTCTTTGCTGACATGTTTTTGTTAGGTAGCAGATAAAACAGGGAAACCTTGTTAAATGGGCTGCAGTTGGCTCTTGAGTGTGACTGATATGTCTTGTGGAGATGCAGTAAAAATGTTTTTAGATAAACTGTTTTGGCAGAGACACTACAGCACATTTTGTAATCAAATTCAGCTACTACAAGAGGTCTAATCAGCCAAAATAAGTTAACTGCAAGACTGGCATCATCCCTGCTCACATAGAAGCCTGAATAAAGGTCATCTATATTCTTAAGATGAGTAGGAGGAAGAACCGTTGCACAGCAGGGAGACCTGCCAATTCCCTGCCAACTGACGTCATTAAATTATCAAAAAGTACAGTATCTTAAGTACACTGTGTAATGTTTCTATCAGCCAAATGCCATGAATTTTCAAAATATCCTCCTCACTTTCCACAACACTGCTTTACAGTTTTGTATTCTGAGGTTTCACATCTGGGACCTGAGTGTCACTACTTGAAACTATTGTTGATTTGCAAAACAGTGACATGGTTCTTCCTCTATAATCCACAGTCTATATGCGGATTCATAGCCCTCCAGTCTAAAGTCCAGTCAATAAAACAATCAGGCCAATATCTTACTGTCCTTTTTTGTTCCAGAGCCTATATCCAGGCCTTGCATCCACATGGAGGCTTCATCAGTGCTGGAGCTCAGTGAAAACATAATCCTCAATTGCTCCCATGAAAATGGAACCAGGACTTCATACAGGTGGTTCAAAGGTGGAAAGCCACTGACCACTGAGATGAGATTCGTGCTGTCACCTGACCAAAAGCTTCTGACTATTACACGGGTGTTGATGGCAGATGATGACATCTACAGCTGCACAGTGGAGAATCCTGTGGGCAATATGACAAGCCTGCCTATCAGACTGACTGTTTACAGTATGTGATGCTATTTGAGTCATCAGTTGCAGTTCCAGCAATAATCAGTATTATTAGACAAGGCGGTTTCTTTCACATAATTAATAGTTTCTGTAGCTCAGGCATGCATGTTCTCCCCGTGCTTGCGTGGGATCTCTCCGGGTTCTCCGGCTTCGTCCCACTGTCCAAAGACATGCACCTTAGGTTGATTGGTGACTCTAGATTGCCCGTAGGAGTGTATGTGTGCGTGTGAGTGGTTGTTTGTCTGCGTGTTGGCCCTGCGATGGACTGGTGGCCTGTCCAGGGTGTACCCTGCCTTAGCCCTCTAATCAAAATGCAGTTCGTTTTCTGGAACAACTTTCTAACAAGCCTCAGACTTTAAAGCCAAACTGAGACTGAACATAGACACAGCAGTACTTTAAGCTAAATGCTTTTATTTTGGTGTGTTACCTTACTAAAGCTTGCTAATTACTGCTGTTATATCTTGCCCTGTGTAACAGTTTCAGGAAGCCCACATCGATCATTTACTCTTGACCAATCAGTGGCAGCTAAGCCATTTGCAAAATGCTTTCTCCTCCCAACTCCCACCCTCTTTCAGCAGAGGAGCAGTCTCTTTATCCATCTATCCATACCACTTATTCTGCAGAGGGACACAGCTGACACTGGCCGAGAGCCAATGTACACCCTGGCGCCCTGGACAGCTCACCAGTCTCTCACAGGGCTGACACATAGAGACAAATAACTATTCACATTCTCATTCAAACATATTGGCAATTTACTTGTTCTTAGTTTGTTTTGAATTCATGTGATTTATTCAACTTTTTTCCTCCTCCATCTTGCTGTCCCTTGAGGCAGGGTTGTAACAGCACAAAACACAACTTACAGCTGATGCTGAGGAGAATCTTGCAGTTTTACAGGTATTTGGTCATAAACCAAACATCATGGATAAATTAGGGGGAGCCAGTATAGAACGAGTACATGAAATTAAATTTCTAGGTGTCATAGTGGATGATAGATTCACCTGGAAATCTCATATCAGATATATTCAGCATAAAATAGCAAAAAACATATCGATATTGGCGAGGGTCAGACATATTTTGGACATAAAAGCACTACGTATTTTGTATTCTTCATTGATTTTACCATACTTAGAGTATGGCGTTGAAAACTGAGGATATACATACAAAAGCTCACTTCAACCATTGTATATATTACAAAGAAGAGCGATAAGAATTGTGCATAAGATGGGATACAGGGATCACACCAATGGAGCTTTCATACAGTCTAAATTGTTAAAGTTTTTTGACTTAGTGGGATATAAGACTGCTGTGTTTATGTATAAAGCCAGGAAAGATTTATTACCTGGTGGTATTCAAAAACTATTTGATGAAAGGGAAGGGGGATACAATTTAAGGGGTCAGTTAAATTTAAAAATTCATGCTATACGTACGGCTTAATGATTAATCAGACGGGAATGTGGATGTAGAATATGTATCCATGTAGTAATACTGCTTTCAAACCAATGATGATAAGATGATGTTAGGGGGTAGGACTAGATAAGTCTAACTTCTTCCTACTCCGTTCAAGCATGTACTAGGTATAAGCAAATTGAAAATATTTTTGTGGACATGTCTGGAATTATGTGTGATTACATACTGACTGTTGTTACATGTTTGAAAGAATGAATAAATCAAATCAAATCAAATCAAATCAAATTCAAATTTATATCGGATAGTGACAGGACATGAAAAGTTTAGGGATCACCACAGATTACAAACATATTGAATACGTTTCCTTATTTTCTTTTATGTTCCCATGTTGGTGTGTTCACTGTTAATGTTCATAAGCTGTTATCCTTCATATCCTTCCAGGAAGAAGTTCCCTCTATATCATCATTTCCACTGGAAGCATCTTTCTCCTCATCACTTTGGTAACAGTATGTGCCTGCTGGACACCTTCCAAAAAGTAATCATTGTTACTGGGCTAGTACATCAATCCAAAATAGCATGAGATTTATAAAGGGAGATCTGGAGTGAAAATAAACATAATATTAATGCACTGATACCAGTTTGTCTTTGTTAGGCCAAAACATCCACCTAGAAAGCCTATCTCGAGGTTTTTCAACCACTCTCATCACTCACCAATCAATCAAACAGGTATAGTAATCTTCCACTGAGTTAATATTCCACTGTGATGGCACTTAATACAAAAAGTGATCAGCTAGTCTAAAATAATTCTGATAAAGAAATCAGGCAATATGTATGAATGACACTCTAATGTTTTGTGCTTTACCACAGATGATGTGCATCCAAACGTGACCAAGCATAATGGAATAAATGCAGTAACTTCACTTTACATCCTGCAGCAAAAGGTATCTCTGAGTGCACTGCATTCTGTGACTCACCAAAGGTGGCAAAATCAGAAGCTATCCTGAGGTTCCCTGGAGGCTGCAGTGTTCCTTACAGTGCACAATACAAACAGTAGAGTGAAAGTGTTCTTTTTATACAGCCCTAGCAATAGTGTAACTAAATGTTTGCGCTGAGGTTGATGATACAGAAAAGATCAAGGGACCATTAAAACAATGAGGGGCTATACTTTGCCATTTTTGCCTAGTGTCAGCTGGGACTGGCTCCAGCCCTCCCCCCATGACCCTCTTCAGGATAAGTGGTATAGATAGTGGATGGGTGGACATCCAAAGGTTTTATTTCCAGTAGGGATGTGGTTGCTCCTCTCATGAGTAGCAATGAGTGCTTTAACATTATCAGTAGCAAATTAATTAATCATCTGTCATTCACTCTTACTGTATTAGATGCCATGGAAAATATGACGCATTAATGCAGCATAAATAAAGCAATAGAGGCTCTGTACAACCCTTTACCAGTGTTGTAGTCGAGACTGGATTCCAGCTGAAGTTGTTGTTTTGCAGGATCCCTCCATGGATGACTCATCCAGTAACAGTATCGGATCTCCATCTGAACTTGACAACCCACCATGCTACACCACTTCCCCGACGTACACTGAATCTTTTACCCAAGCTACTGTGTGCCCTCCACGTTCTTCTCATAGGTACAGCTGAAGGCTCATCATTTTAAACTCTCCAAATGGCAGCAAAGTGGGAGGTCAGACCATTCTGCCGTATACTGCTCCTGATAACAACATCCTGCACATTGGAGTTTGGAAAAGATCAGAAAACCTTCATAATAATGTCATTACTGCTTGTTATATTTTTATTAATATTAAATAGCAGTTGCTTTTAAGACTGGAACTACATCCTATAGAGAAGGTGACATCAGAGATTTGCAATCTGTATCAGGGTTCACTGCTGCTGATTACAGGAACAACGAATGTTAAAAACTGGGAATTGGCAAAACGCCTTCATGAAGTTGAGGTGGGGTTAGTATGATTCATCTACCAAACTGCAGTGTGATAAAGGGAATGCCAACTAAGGCAAACACTTCTCTGGCACGCATACTGTTCTTTAGAATTTATTGTCATTAAAAAATTACCATGCAAGATGACATTTGTTGTTTACAAGACTGAATGTTAAAAAAATGATACACTTTGTAGGGAAAAAAATCATTCTTGGAAATACTACTCTACTACAATTTCACATTTTCCGTAGTGTTCAGTGAAATCTAGTAGTTAATACATGTTAGAGGAGGGTCAAATGTATTTCAATTTTATACAAACTTTAATAAAAATTGAAACTGTCAAAACCCAAGAACGTTTTGGAAGTTTATTAGAAGTTTGTCAGCTGAACTCCTTCAGGCTTGTTGTCTTTTAGACTGTTCCTGCTCACTCATTCATTTGAAGAGTTTCATGCATTCTAAGTTTCTGTATCCATGAAAATGCTGGGTAAAAAAGAAATGCATGCTTCCTTTGACGGTGGGGTTGGGATTAGACTTTGACAAAGTTAACTGGATAATCCAATAAATTAACTTCATTATACAGACCCCTGGCGACATGCTTGTGTAGTGTTAAATACTTTAACACATAATGATGCATCACGAATATGGCAATTTATTGACATGTGACAAATCATTTATAGCTGGGTTACAGCAAAAGCCTCTGAAATATTTCATGTCATACCACGTGTTAACTCTATCCATACATTCTGTATTGCTGGCAACAATTTGGGGTGTACTTCTATTTGTGGGAGTGGTAGAGACAATGCATCTTAAAAAACAGGTCTACAACAGAGATATAAAGTTGGTTTTAAATGATGCAAACCTACTGAAAAAAAAAACCTGTTGAATAGATAAAGGCAAGGATTTGTGTTATTTTTAGGGCAATACCAACACGTTAATTTATTAGCAACACAAACTACACCATCACTGGACTACACTGTACTAGGGAAACTCTGGATGTATGCACTCTAACATTCTATAGCACACACAATGCCAACATTAGGTGGTTATATTGACACAATGGTATTGAAAGATAAACTTCCCAGTTGAACTGTGTGAACGCTTGGTCTTGTGAGGCTGGTCTGGCTGACTGGCCACAGTCTGGCTTGACAACAATGGCACAAAGATTGCAAAAACAACACTGGCATCAAAAGAAAAGGTGAAAACAGAAAAAGCACACTACAAAATCGAAGCTAATATAATAACAAAGCAGAGGTAGATGCACAATAAATAGGAATGAAAACATAGGTGCATAAAGCTGTGTGCAACTATGTGGTTGCAGTACACAGGGCTGACAACAGTTACACTTTAAATTAATCAGCATTCTCAAAATGGAGTGGCACTGGTGTGTGAACACATAAATCAAGAGCTGCGACTTGTGAAGTGGTAATAATAGAAATAATGGCCACAAACATACCACACATTATGTGTCAATCAGAAGCTTTGTCTGTCTGATCTGAAGGGTTGCTCCCCTCCACTTACTCGGCCTGCAGATGTCTCACTATGCTGGAAGTGTAATTATTTTAACATAACTTTATTAATTATTTTACAATATAATGTCATGTGGTCTAAAGTTCCGTTTGAGTTTCGAATTCACAATTGTCCATTACATGTTATTTGTTGGTACTTTGTATATTTGAATACCTAAGACAAAATGTAAAAAAAAACAAAACCTAAATATTCTGAAGAGATTTATGAGGTGGTTGTGGAGCAGGGGCCTACCAACCAAGATAGTGTGCAATGAAGCCTAGGGTTCAGCAATGGCCTCGCCTCCTCTAGCGCAGAATTGTGGCCTCTGTCGCATTTCAATGACATAAAAAAAAAAAAAAAAAAAAAAAAAAAAAAAAAAAAAAAAAACAACAAAAATCTCAGGTCTGCATTTTCTTTTTTCAACTTCCAGGTATTTTCACTTAAAGCTTTTCAGTGACTGAACAATGTTTCGTATTTACGGAGGAAAAACTAATGTTTTGATCTAAATGCTGACAAATCTAAGCCCCATTAAATGCAAGATGCTGTGGTGAAATGGCAGGAAAACAGCTAAACGTATGCAATCTGCCAAATGAGCATGTCTCTAGAACCACCACGAGGCTAAATGTGCTGTAGAACAGACATTTGTAGCTTCTGACAAACACAATGGTTTTAATCCTTCACACACATTAATAGCATAAGGAACATATCAACAGTATTATTCTGTGGGTACAGCCGAAGCAAAGCCAGTATCAAAAAGCCAATCAACAACAAATCAAAACCAAAGAAGCCAGACACTGTACAAAATGTAAAAAGAAAATTATAATAATGGCTTCATGGAAAAGGAGGAGATGTTTGTTTTGTGCTCAGGATAGTTTCACTATCAGTCACATCTCTACAACATTAAGACCATTAGTTAAGGATGGAATGTTAGACACGTTTTCACTGGGAGGTAAAAATCGCAATGAGTTGAGTAAGAGAATTCAGTAATGTTTTCAACTGCCAAAATAACGGAAACATCCACAGTATGTTATACAGAACTGCAGTATGGTGACATACTTGTTCATCTATTAAAGGTAAAATATTCCAAAATTACAAATTACTCAGCATCCACCAGTCACTGTTTGGATTCCCTTGTCTTGGCAATTGGCTGTAGGTGACAGAACATGACAAAACACTGCTGTTTGTTGTCAGGATGAAGTGGAGTGGATAAGAGCAGGTCAGTTCTTCAGCACGGAGTCGTACATCTGGTAGACGTACTGCGAAACCTCAGGTGCTCGGCACTTGAGAGACAGCTGTAAATGCACAGAGATGCAGAGTTGCAGCAGGAAACACTGACTTAAACACACTCAGCTCACTCGGTCCCGTTTCATTATATAATTACATTTCATAAAAACACAAAATATCTGTAAATAATTGTCTTATTAGACACATAAGTATAATCTACGACATACTATATTGTCTAGAGTTTACTAAACCTTTCAAACATTGACATTCATCTGTTTAATTGGGTGTTTGTAACTAACTGCATTAGACTTGTACAATAAACCATTTCCCAAAGGTAAATCATGCAAATCTTTGGACGATAAACAACCATAAAGCATAAATGAGGGCCAAATAGTAAAAATGGACTGCAAACTGTTTCATATTCTACCGTGTAGTTGGGGTTGCCAGGCTGGATGCGGAGCTCCGCCAGGATCCAGATGCCATTGGTTAGCTTGAGGGACTGGTACAGCATGTCCTGGCCTTCTACGTTTCTCTTGGCAATGGTATAGATGTTGTTATTCTGCAGCTTCCCTGATACGGTATCTGTAAGGTCAGAATCAAGGTTACCTCAGCTAATGAACACACCTCACCTGGTGGTGCCATCTAATTACTAAACAAAGAGAAATTACACAAAGCAAACACACACACAGGAGGCAGCAGTCACTACAGGAACTAACATTAATGTATATAGTACACGAGCTAATGCACTCTACTACAGGCAAAAGGTTTATCAAGAAATTCAATCACTCTGATGATTTTAATGAACACTGACTGGCAACCCTCAGATTTAAGGAAACCTGAACAGGTGTGCTTCAGAGCTGGGCCCTGTGAAGAACAGCTACCACAAGTTGTTAGCGACCAGAGTGGAACAATCGTGGACTTATAAAAAGGAAAAAAGGTTGAAGATATCCTTCGGGTACAGAGAAAAAGGATTGTTGAGGCATCCCAAGATAAGCATGTGGGTGGAAAAAGAAAACACAAGAGAGAAGTATGAGGGCTTTGGATGAGCTGGAACTGGCAGAACAGCTGGGAGGTTATTTTCCAGACATGGTTTCTAATGTCATTTTTGATGTTTTTAAAAACATACTGGGTGCAGTCCTGGAGTGAGTGTGCATGTTTTCGGGGCAATGCTGATGAAAAGGAGACGGGTTGGCTCTAAATTATTTTTCTTATAATTGTCATTGCTGCCCGAAGAAGAGCTCAAAACATGTTGCTCATTCATCTGCAACTGGTGTCAGGTTTTGCCTTCCCAAACAAAACAAGTGAAGAGAGGTCAGTTGGAGAAAATACACTTATGCGCTAAGTGTTGCAAATATCATTCTGTTTGTATGACGCTTTACTGGATGGATGGACGGAAACATTGCTTCGCAAAACAGAGGGCGGTTCATTCACAAACTTGCCTACCTGCATTTAGGTGGCACTCCTTTATCTGGTACTGCAGCTCATTCTCATTGGGGATGTCTTTCCAAGTAGCCAGGAACACCTGACGCTCTGAGAGGGGGAAAAAAAAAAAAATCTATTCGATCAACGTTATAGTGATGTGGAAGACAAGAACAGATTTTCACACAAACACTACATACTATTGGATGGCTGATCCATGATGTAGCAAATAATGACCAGCCTTTTAGTATATAATGTTCAGTATATATATCCATCAAGTGCCTAGTGAAGAGAGAGTACAGAGTTTTAAACTCTGAAGATACAGCATTTTATAAGATATTTCACATCCAGTGTGAGAGCTATATGAGCATTTTCCAAGAAATATTTTACTCCAGTGATTGTGGAAGATAATTTTTTTTACTGCTGATATGGTGTGATAGTGACAATGTCAAGAGCAATGTGATGCTGTTTTATAAGGTAGTGAGCAACAATCGTACCCATTTTACCATCCTCAACAAAGAATATGTTGAGAGGGATGAGTACACTAAAGTAGAAGACATCAATGTTGTTCTTCACAGCCACCTGTGTGTAATAAACAGAAGAGAACATATGACATATTTCAGGCATAAAAAGCAATGTTTCAACACTTGTTCTCATCATATTTGCTCTGCATGGCTGAGATGTGCTGACGTTTAAATTAGCATCATATTAAACCATGTGACAACAGAGCTTAAATGTCATTTCAACTCTTTCTGTCCCCTTTGCACAAATACCAAACCATGTTTGTTTTGCTTTGCCAGTTTATGTAATCTACTGATTATGTGCCTTAAATAGGAGAAACTAATTCTCTAATCTCAGCAACCAGTTAGAAATCCTTCTCTCATCAACTGCCTGCAACTCAGATTCAACATGCTCAATTGGCTGAACAAATCCCAATAAAGGATTACAATGTTGCCAGACACAACACAAAAAGTACAAGCGATGATACTCTTTCTGTACCTGCAGATTATTGAGTGGATCCATCTTCATGACTGGTCCAATGGTGTTGAGAGGCAAAGAGATCTCAATACTCTGACTGGGCATCAGGGGAGTGTGAACAGGCAGAGGACTCGTGGGGATCATCCCAAAACTACATGTAGGAAACAAACAAACAAACCAACATAAATGGGTGGTATAGTACATATACTCAGTCACCAGTACAAGCTGAAACTAAAGAAGACAATATAACAGATAAAATGTTGTAAAGATGTTGATTTATTCTTGATGGCAGCTATGCTATAGAGGAACATGGTATTTCCTCTGAAGTGTATCATCTCACTAACCTGTTCTTGTTGAACTGAATAGCAAAGTCAGTCATGTGTTGCAGGGCCTTGTTGGTGAAGGTCATGTCCATGTACATGTGACCCTGGCGGCGAGAGAAGGTTCCAGAGATCTCCAGTCCCTTGGCTTTCACTGCAGGCAGCCACACCTGGTAAAATGTACCAGTGTAGTCAATGAACAGATATTTTAAACCACATGTCCATATTCTCACATTTATACAAATGCAGCTTCACCGTTGGCCTGGCCAATTAGTACTTGTGTCCTAGATTATTATAAAACACTGTGCAGTATTTTGACATTTGATAAAACTTAAAACTCATTATATCCACTACCAAACTTGACTTCCTAAAAAAAATACATCTAATGTGTGAACTTACTGCTTTTGGGGCTATGTAGCCTCCAGTGGTGATGGCCATGCCTGTAGAAAGTTCAAACAAGTCATTGAGGCCACTGCTGACAGCTGGAGGTGCTGGTGTAGGTGATGGAGCAAAGGTACTAGGAACTGATGAAGGAATGAAGTTCTGTCCCACCTAAAGCAATCACAACAAAAACACAATGCAAGTAACCAGATTTTAATCAGCGTCACTGGACAACAGTGAGAATCACACAGTCGTATCAAAGTGAGAAACAATTAATCAAACACTTTAGTGATTGAGGAAAAACAAAATTTCAACCATAACAAAACTGTGTGATCAAAACCTTTAAGACAGAGAAAATGTGAACAAGATCAGTGAAGTTATGTGAGTGTGCAACTGAGAAGCCAAGCTTACAAACTTGGAAAAACATTGCTTTGACAGTGTGGTGGATTAAATCCTGGAAGCATGCATCATGCAGGCTGCCAAACAGAAGGGCTTCACTTACTGCTGGACTTCCCCCAACACCTCCGCTCAGGTCTCCCCCCAGCTACAGGAGAAGAGAGGCCCCCCAAAGACAGCATCCAAACATCACAGACAGGTCAAACCCACAAACAAAGACAGACAGAGACAGAGACATTCTTAGCAACTGCAACTCAGGAATAGTACTTTAAAATCTGCAATATGCAAGAAATTCAGGTACTCCAGCAGCCTGGAGAAGTGGAAGAGGGATCATTAACAGAGGAAAAAATACAGGGCAAAGTGTAGTGCTATTATTTATCAACATGTTAATGTACCAAACCTTTTCAGAATTTTTCAATATTTCAAAACATTCATGTGAAACGACATTTTCTGGGGCGTTTTTGTGTTATGTCACAAAGAATAACAGATAGAGCAAGGATGTGGACATTTTGTGCTGCAGGCACATGTAACTTATTGTCTGCTGGACATACCATGGCAAACCACTGTTCAAGCCGGGCAGTCCCCTCTGGTACAAAAACAAGGAAGCACTGTGTGATTGTGTGTGTGAGAGACCAAGCTCACCAAGCTGTCCAGGCCTCCTCCCAGAAGGTCCACCGCACCCATCTGCATGGAGGAGACCTGGGGCACATTGACCGGAGGGCCCAGATCCAAGTTGAGCAGGTCACCCAGCAGGTCACCCTGGCTGGGGATCACATGTGGCTGGTCCATGGCAGCTGCTGGCCCAACGCTCACTGGACTCTCACCTGTATCAATGCTGTCATTGGAGAAAACAGTGGACTGGTAAGGGACAGGCATTTAAACATGGTCCCCTGCCAAGAAGAATGTTCTCAAAATGAAATCATGTTTTTGATGATGATGATGGAAATAGCTATAATGCTATCAAAAAGTGTCCATTTTAAGGCTACTGGTTTTACAGTCACATTCAAACCAGTGCAAGCAACATCATTCTGCAAAACAGTGCAGGTTTTTTTAACCGCATCTGGGACATTTTGTCACCTTGTGCTATGCTGTTGTGCTGGGGGAACAATGGGAATGGGAACAAAGGGATAACTGTTCAACTTGATTTTCCATGATTCTGCTATATGGCCTGGACAGAAGCTCCGTTTAGGACAAGACTAGAAAAGTCAAATTCAGTTTGACTGTGGACAAAGTGAAACCTCTGAGCCATGATTTTTTTGTTCATAAGCACAACTGGATCCTCTTTTACACATGGGGAAATATATTCAGGGTGTTGAGCAATGTCCTGTTCTCCAAATACAAGCTGGACAGTTTTTAGCTTACACATATTTTACGCTGCACTGTGTTATTCATTCCTAACTTGATGCCACATTGTATGTCACACAACGTTGCTGAAGAGCCTAAACATTAAACCCTGAGATCCAAACTGGTGGATGACTCGTGCACATATATTACTGAGTAGAAGCGTATAATAACTTCAGTTATTCATTATTCAGTAGATCCAGTTTCCCTCTGAGCCCACTCCTAAGCACTTACACACACACTCTACAATGACAGCTGAAATTGCTATTGTAAATGAACTTGTATTTGCAACTTTTAGTTTCTTGTCCACGTTCAGCTGCTGCATGTTCAAATGAAACTGAATAAAGATGGTCTGCATTATGGAGCTTGTGGAAAAAATACTTTAAAACTGTCAATGAGGAAATTTAAAAAAAAAGAAAGACAAGTGCTCAAAGGCACTGACTCATGCAAGTATAACGAAATGGAGTTCAAAAGCTGAGGTGCACAGTGTTTCAGTGACCTGCTGTGCTGGACAGGAAGGTGTTTCCGGTGGATTCCGTGGCTACCCTCCACAAAGGCGCTGGGGGGTTTGTGATAAACAGAGGCCAGGGAGCCGATGTGGCAGATGAGCTCATCCAGTAGTGTGGGCTCAATCAGGTCTGTCTCCTCTGAGATCAGGGGCTTTTCTGACAACACCACCTCCTTGGCAGTCACAGGGTCAGTGGACAACAGTCGCCAATAAATGTAGCCCCTGTCACGCAGGTCAGGGTTGTCAGAGTCCTGTAGAGGAGGAGGAGAGGGAACACATATGCACTGTAAACTATATTTACATGGTGTAGGAATTAGAGCCTGTGGACCACAAATGGACTAGCTACTTACTATGGTGGTAGCTAAGGGAAATTCAAGTTAAAAAACCAAGCAATAATCAATTTATAAAAACTGGGGAAAAACTTTGATACACTACAGGAAGCTGTGCTTCTCAGAGGAGGTGTCAAATACAAAACAAGAGCTATTTACAAGGCTTGAGTTGAAAGAAAACAAAAAACAGTGAATACATACATCATCAAACTGATGTAAAGTTGCACTTGTACAAAATAAAAGCAGTCGCTCACCTGAGTGGCCAGGCTGAGGACCTGCTGCACCAACTCCTGAGTCTCTGACGGCTTCTTAAGGAACAGCTTAACAATGGCGGTGAGCAGAGTGAGCTGGACCTGCAAATCAAAGAGCGCACTATTGTATTACAGTTATTTTCAGTTTACAGTACCTCTTAAAGTCTAGCACCTTGACCTGACTGTGGGCGGTGGAAACAAGCAATATATGGAAACAAACAGGACAATATTTGTTGTG